CAAAATCTCACCTATCAACCGGAAAACGCCAAAATACCAATTTCGCCAATTCAAGCCTAAATCTACTCCGAACCTCTAAAACACATTCCTATCATGCTCATAAGTCCCAAATCATCTCTCGAAGCTGTCCGAATCACCGAAACTCACACCCGAGCCCTCTAACACATAAGTCAACATCCGGTTGACTTTTCCAACTTAAACTTTCCTCAAAAGAGATTAAGTGCCTCAAACCTTACCAAAACCTTTTCGAACCCGAGCCAACCAATCTGATCACACATAGAACAGATAAACAAAGCAATAAGAAGAAGAAATGGGGATAACGGAGCGGTAACTCATGAGACGACTGACCGGGTCGTCACAAGTTGACCACAACTGTAATGCAAATAAGACAATTTTTCAGGTGACTACTGCTCCAACATATAGTGTAGACATTTTCTAATAATACTGATAAGAAATTCTGGTTTTTAGCAGGATAAGCTAATTTTTGTAGAAATTTCGCTATCATTGAACAACAGTATCACCTTGTTTGTCAGATTGTAGAGCGATTATCATAACAACCAACGAGGTGCAGTACTATTTCATAGATGATCAATGGGATAATAGTACATCCTGGAAGCTCATAGAAGTATTGGTTGTCTTACCAATGTTACATATACCATACAAAAATGGTCAATGATCTACGGACAAAGTCACACATCCTCAAGAGTTGTTCAGTAAATTATTTGCATATAAGCTCTAATATTTTAAACTCATAAAGTTATATTGTAAAATGAGATGCAATGTAGCTGAAGAGCATTTCAATGAAGATACATAGATATCAAATTGGTATAAACCTGTAATTGACTGAAAGAATTTTTTTTGAATATATAGACCGCTAAGTATTTCTCTTTTTTGGGTAAGAAGGGAAACACGGTGGTACGACAGAAAATTGCATATGCTGGATCATCTAGTTTTACCGCAAATGTTTAGTTTGCATGAAATAATGATCGAAGTATAAAATGTGGTTACATAAATATTTGTTCCATACCAGTTCAGAAGTTCCCCAACTTGAGGATATGGTGGATTTATCAGTATGATCGAGTTGTACCTTGTTGATAATGATAATCCTATATGATAAATTATGTTAGTAAAGAATTCGTAACAGATCTGTTGTAGTACGAAAAAAAGCGCAAGTTTTTTCATACCAGCATAGTTGGTTCGGGTAATTCGTTTTGCTACAATTATTGGATATTCAGCAACCTGTGCAGCTAGGATGCTTCCATCAGCGTCGACAAAGTCTTCCCACAACGTAANTCCCTTGTAGTACCAAAAAAGTGTAAGTTTTTCCATACCAGCATAGTTGGTTCGGGTAATCCATTTGCTACAATTATTGGATATTCGCAACATGTGCAGCTAGGATACTTCCATCAGCGTCAGCAAAGTCTTCCCATAGTGTAAGGATAGTAGGCCTCACACTACAATAGAAGGAATGGACAGTAAATGACACTATCCCCCAAAAAATACAATAGTAATAATGTCACCAAGAATAATAAAGAAGAGGATGTAAATTTAAAAATAACAGAGACAATTCGATAAGATCGTTATTCAAACAATGCGAACAGAATGAAGTGAAACGTTCAGGTAGGAGAGTGAAGGTTGGCAGAAGGGTTTTATAAATGAGGTATCGTGAATGCCTAAGTAAACAAATGCAGCATGACTTAAACAGGTTTTTTCAGTTTGGAACTAATGACTACTAGAGTATGTAGTTGTCACTGTATTTTTTAAAATTTTACTTGTTAATTTTGAGTAATTAGTTGTACTTATGATATTTTTTTAGCTCTTTTCATGTTCTTCAGTTGATTTTATTTCAACTTTAGCTTATTGAGTATTAAGTGTTTTCTGTAGATTATTTTGGTTTTAAACACGGGTTATTCTTGTGAGCTTCAAGAAACAATTTTTAGCTTTTATTTTTGTGTTTACATTATTGTGTATTGAGTATTTTCTGTAAATTGTTATAATTATAAACACTTTGTATTCTTCGAGCTTCAAGAAACAATTTGTAGCTTTGATTTTTGTGTTTAAATTATTTAGTATTAAGTATTTTCTGTAAAGTGTTATAATTGCATTTTATAGCTTGAAGAAATAATTTTTAGCTTTAGTTTTTGTGGTTAGCTCAGTCTGCTTATTGTCTTGTCCTTCTTGTACTAATTTCTTTGTCTTAAAATTGGTCACCAAATTAAAAAAATCAATAATCTTTAAGTTGGTCATAGTTGTTAATTACTCAACTTTTGCTAATATTTATGTTGTTTGTCACGATTCTGGCTATTGTAATGCAGTTGCAACATCCTTTTCTGCATCTGGGTTATGTAGTAAACAGCCTTCCCCTTGCATTTCTCAGAAGGCTGTCTCAACATTCGTTAACATTGAAGCAACACCTGTAAATTTGGGTGTTCAAAGCGTAAAGCAAGGATTCTTGATATTTGGATATTTACAATGTATTTGATTTTACTGTGTTGATCCTCTTTGTAAACCAAATTATCTATTCCTCTTATAACCAATTTAGTGTGTCTAATAATATTGAGCTAAGAAAATATTTCTATGTGAAAATTTAGTTTTATGATTTTTTTTAAAACGACGTTGTGATACAATATCTGGCTATATATTTATGTCCAATTCTGTTTGGAAGCTGTAGCGAAAGTAGTAAGGTAACTAGAACGCCAACAGACTTACCTGATATCCATTACGACGATTTCACGACATTTATTACTGTCAGCGCCATTGTACTTTCCCGAGCCACATTTCACCACAACGGCAATTATGTCTGTTTAATGGAAATTGCAAGTGGCTTATAATTTAAACCAATGTGCACAGTCCCAGAATGTAAGGATACAAATAAATTAAATGTGAAAGGGTACTACGCATAAAATAATGGTTACCAAATTCTTTATTTCACTATTGGTCGTGCAACTATGCAAAGGGTACAGTATTCAACCTCGTCGGAGGCGGGAGCGGTGGGTATTGTAAGTTGTCATCTTTCACCTCTTCGACAACAGTAAATCTGTCGATAACCCATTCAAAATGGTTGATAGGTACACCATATGGTAAAGGAACTCTCACTTTTGCAGTAGATATCAAGTAAGTAGAAAACATGGTGAGCTTGTCTGTATACTTTTCTATGTCTTCCCCGTACAAGACAACAACTACTTTCTCTTCCTGTATTTTGATATCGTGATGATTTAGTTATCAGATTCCACAGAAATGTGTGCATATAAACTTACAGAGATATACAAATATAGAGTATTGAAGAAATGGCAAGAAAATTGATCCATTTCTGGACAAATCTTTGCATGAGAATTCATGACAGCAGAAATATATGGATATAAGAAAGAACAAGTCTCTTTACCTTTCCTTTTTCATTTTCATAAAATGTATTAAGGAACTGTACATAAGCACAATAACAACAAAAAAAACATCAAAATTTAGACAGTTTAACATCGAGTGCTTCCTTGAAACTTATAGAAAATGAAATAATGTATCTAAAAGCAATATCTGAAGCAAATCCATAAAAAGCCCAAAAAAATGAAGAAAAGGACATCAGCGTGCACAAGTCGCTGAAGTATTTAAACTTAATTTTTTTATCAGTTGTCAGAAGAACATGGCAACTGTATTTCTCTCTTTTATTTTCTTTCCATGAAATAACATAAAGCACAATCTGCTCAAAACCTCAACAAACTTTGAGGAGGCAACCAATTCTACTGATGACTCATCTTAACTATAGATGTGTAATTGGAAGATGCGTTTGACCACTTTTTGGTCAATAATAGATCTTATGCGTCAGTATATTTATATTCATGTATTCATCATGTATACCTACAAAAATTTCACAATCTCTCGTCATTCTTATAACATCTTGAGAATTATTGCAGGAGGTTGCGAGAACATCTACCCTTTCTATCTTCAATATTCACAGTAAGCGAGAAACACTACAGTTAGCACAGGCAAAGACAATAATACGTAGACGGGTGGAGTACTTAGTATTGGAATTGCAGGAGTACTTAGTATTGGAATTGCTAGTAAGCCATGCCATATAATCATCTGGAAATATGATAGTATCTAATTAGTTGATTTCTTTCATTAAATAGGTTATTAGTCAAAATGAAGAAGATTAGAAAAATCAATGGATGACCTGCAACTACACTGGGAAACTTCTGAAATAACTTTTCTCCTCTTTTGTTCTATTTGTTCTTACCGGAAAGCATGACCCCTTTTGAGTGAACTCAAAGGAATACCTAGAACTTAAGGGAAACCGAAATGGAATCCCTCATATACCATGTGCAACCAACCTAGTAACAATATGATGTCTACAACAAAGAAATCAATAGGGATAAATTTGAAAAAGAGGAAAAAAGCACCAATGACGTCCAATTGAACAAATGAATCAGCAAACAAGAAATCCCTAAGGCCACTCCTAAAGAATAAAAAACAGCAAAACTAACCTTTCAACCAGAATGTGTAAAGATAATGGTCTATGCCAAATAGCTACAACAACATGAATACTTGATGACATTAGTAATGATTGTGCCCCACTCGGGAATCATGAGCCAGTTATTTGTTTGATTAGTAGTTCTTTGGATCTGGAACTGACAGTGATCACTTGTCTATATATATATATATATATATATATATATATATATATATATGCATTCCAATCAAGTATACTCAACTGCTACTATTCTAGTTTCCTCTACCAAAAAAGTGTATGTTTCCAAACCAAGCCAATATTTGTACAATGATACTACAAATCAAAGTAAGCCCCAGAAGAGATAATTATTGTTCAATATATTATGTGATTATAACACAACCGAACAAGTGAGCATAAAGACATGGAGCGGCTATAATGATATTTCTTTAGATCTATATTTTTGCTCGATATATTAATTGGTACAAAAATTTAAATGTTATGATGACATATGCAGTAATTATCACAATGCTAAGCAAGCGAACCCAACAAGTAGCCATAGTCAATTTCTTTTACTAAAAATATTTTTTCCTAACATTTAGTTAAGTCTCAACTTTCATAAGGGATTCATAAATCACTGAAATGTGCAGAAACATTACAGAAAATAGACCAACACAGCCCAACAATCTGGTGTCGCGAATCTAGAGCCTCTAAATACACTGATCCAACTGTCTAATACATAACAAGTCTAAAAATGCAGAAAAACAAGGAAAGGAAGGAGGAAAGTAGGGTTGCGGACACCGTGCAACTACCTTGCAATCTCCGATAAGCTCTGGAAATGCTGGGAACCCTCACTCTGTCGCTCGGACACCTGGATCTGCACACAAGGTGCAGGGAGTAACGTGAGTACGCCAACTCAGTAAGTAACTAAAGTAAATAAAGTCTAAAAGCAGTGACGAGCAGTTAAAAATCATATAAAAGAGTAACCCATATAATATCAAGTCAAACCCAACAGTTTAAAAACCAGTTTCTTTATAAAGCTTCAGTTTCAAATGAAATACTTTGAAATCATTTACTTAGCAGTTTTCAACAGAGGCTCATTATAAAAGAAGAGTGAAATCAACAAAAATATCATAAATGGGCCCCTTGGGCAAGGTATCACTCATAATATAGCCACTCGGGCAAGCCTTTCGGTCACTCGTGACTCAGCTCTGGTCACTCAGTACTCACACTCAGTACTCAGGCTCAATAATTTCTCATAATAGTAATAATCATAATAACTACTGTGGCGTGTAGTCCGATTTATAGTTTATAGTCGACTACGCTCACTGGGGGTGTACAGACTCCGGAGGGGCTCCTATAGCCTAAGCGTCATATCGTTGCGGTGCGCAGCCCGATCCAATATATATATCGCTGCAATGCACAGCCTGATNGTAATATTTATAATCCTCACCATTAGGTCCTCAACCTCTCTTAGTCATTAACCTCACAGCCACTAGGGCATAACAATGAAAATCAGGGAACTCAGTCCAAAGAGTTCTCACATTTTAAGAAGTAGAGTGATAAAACCAGTTTTAAATGATAAACAGGTAAAACATGACTGAGGGTATGCTTTCAAACAAATAGAGTGAGGAAAACAGTAAAAGTGCCCCTAAGGGTCTCAACAGGTCGGCACAAGGCCCCAAACATGGCATACAACCCATAATACAGTATAAAATTCTAAAATATAGGATATCATAAGATTTCAAATCAAGTACGCGGCTTAATAGTCGCTATGGGATAGACCAAGTCACAATCCCTATCGGTAAACACCCACACGCTCGTCACCTAGCATGTGTGTCACCTCATTAATCAAAACGATACGAAATACCGAGGTATTGTACCTTCAGTTCCAGATTTACAATGGTTACTTACCTCAAACTAGATGAAATACTACTCCGCAATGCCTTTGCCCCTCACCTCGGCCTCAGCTTGCGCCGAATCTACCCAAAATCAGAATCGTAACATTAGAATATGCTAAAGGGACGAAGCCCATGCAAAATTAATCAAATTATACCGAAAATTTCGAAATTGGTCCAACCCGACCCCCGGGCCCACGTCTCAAAATTCGATAAAAATCACATCAACAGAATTTTTATCCTCCCACGAGTTCATATATACCAAGAATACCAAAATCTGACCACAAACGGCCCTCAAATCGCTAGATTAAAGTCTCAAGTTTCCCAAGCCCTAACTCCCCAATTTAGGCTTCAAATTCCCCAAATTTCACGTTTAATTAGGTAGAAATCACAATAGGATCAAGTATTAAGTCCAAAATTCTTACCTCCAATAAGTTCTCTTTGATTCCCTCTTCAATCTCTCTTAAAAAGCTCCAAAACCGAGTAAAAAATGGTGAACTTATGCCAAAAATAGCAAAAATGGCCTTTTAAACATTCTGCCCAGCGATTTGAAATCCTTCTTCGCGAACGCAGTCAAAGCCTCACGTTCGCGAAGCACAAAATACCATTAACCACAAATCCTCTTACGCGAATGCGGAAGAACCCTCGCGAACGCGATGCTTCAGCTGACCCAACTTTCGCGAATGCGGCTACACCTACGCGAACGTGAAGAACAAGGCTCCTGGGATCCAGCCACTCCAAATACTCTACGCGAATGCGGGACCCTCATCGCGTTCACGATGACCACTGGACCTCACCCTTCACGAACACGGGAACCATATCGCAAACGCGAAGGCCAAAATGACAGCCTCACTTCCCATCCCTTCGTGAACGCAAGGGTCCACTCGCGAACGCAAAGGCCAAATGTCTGCAATACCAACAACAGATTTTCTACAACTTTTTCCAACATGAATTGATCCATTCAACCACCCAAAACTAACCTGAGGCCCTCGGGACCCTAACCAAACATGCTAATATATCCCATAACATCATTCAAACTTGTTCCAACCTTCGGAACACTCAAAATAACATCAAAACACTAAATTTGCATCGGATTCAAGCCTAAGAATTCTAAAAACTTTTAAATTCCGCTTTCGATCAAAAGGTCTATCAAACCACGTCCGAATGACCTGAAATTTTGCACACACACCCCAAATGATACAACGGACCTATTACAACTCCCGGAATTCCATTCCGACCCCTATATCAAAATCTCACCTATCAACCGGAAAACGCCAAAATTTCAATTTCGCCAATTCAAGCCTAAATCTACTCTGGACCCCCAAAACACATTCCGATCACGTTTCTAAGTCCCAAATCATCTCCCGAAGATATCTGAATCATCAAAAATTCACATCGGAGCCCTTATTCACCTAAATCAATATCCGGATGATTTTTCCAACTTAAGCTTACTCAAAAGAGACTAAGTGTCTCAAACCTCACCAAAACCTCTCCGAACCTGAACCAATCAACCCGATAACATATAATATAGCTAAACAAAACAATAAGAAGCAGAAATGGAAAAAATGGAGCGGTAACTCATGAAACAACTGGCCGGGTCATTACAGAGAGGTAGAGTTCTTCCCACTAGGCGTGCCAGAATTTGTAGACAATAAATTGTGTCGAGAAAATAAAATCAAGACCGAAAAATATTGCAACAATCAAAGTATTTTATTTCGAATGTTTGAGTGTTACAATATCTATGAATCCTCTGATTCTATTTTTCAAGAGTAAATAAAAGAGCTTTTGAGCTTAATCTTGAATTTTATTTTACTTTAATCCAAGTGCTTGAGGTCTGATCTTGATCCTGACATCTTTTTAATCCAAGGGCTTGCAGCTTGTTCTTGAATCTTCATCTTAATCTTTGTAATCCTTAGAACGCTTAAATGCTTGTAACTTTTAGAGAAATCTGCATTGTTTGATCCACGAGCTCTCTTTTGCTTCTTGTTATAATTTCTGGTGACTTTTCTGGGCTATAAAGACCCCTATTTATAGTTGTGGGAGGAAAGAGTTGTGATGAGAACAAACTCTTTCCGACCAATCAAATTGAAGTGTGACAAGGCCGTAGTTGATTGGCTAGAACATGTCACTTGCACACGTGGCGCGGTTTCATTGGCCTTTTAATGTGACTCGACATGCTTTGTTATTTTGACACGTGGCATGATCCTATTGGCTTTTCCATTTGACTTCGCATGCCATGTTATTTGACATGTGGCACCAAATTGGGCCTCTAGGAAGATTACATTTTGGGCTTAGTGAAGTGGGCTCATCACTTGTAGCCCAATTAAATGTGCTAGCCCACTGTATTAAGACTTATTTATTTAATCCATATATGTTGGATTTATATAATTAATCTAATTATATTAGCCCGATAAATTTATTTGGACTAAAATATCTTGAATTTAAAATATAATCCAAATTATTTAATGGATTTAGATTCAATAACTTTTGTATGCCTACAGTGTCTTTCAAAAAATTATTTTTGATGAGAAGTAGTTTGTGTTTGGTTAATTAATTTAAAAAATACTTTTGAGCAACAATTAGTGTTTGACCAAACTTTTGAAATGTGCTTCTAAGAGTGCTTTTTTCAAAAGTAAAATATACTTTTGGAAAGATTTTTTTTTTCTACTCAAAAATACTCTTGTTTTCTTTTAAAAGTTTGGTCAAACACTTTAATTGTGGGAAAAAAAACTTTTTGCTAAAAAAAAAGAAGAAGCACTTTTGGCCTAACAGACTATAATTAGTTTAGACATGCAAATGCAAAGACCATCCATTATCAAAAAGAAAAAAAAAGAAAAAGAGAAAGCAAAAATAACATCTATTCTGAGATAATTCTTTTTTAATCAAATCACTAGGCAAGTGCCTAGGGCTAAATTTTTTTTATTGATATCTTCATTCTACGCTTCTTTTTTTTGTTGCTTTTCCGTATATGCTAATGCTCCTTAATTCCATTCTAATATAAAGTGTACTAAGCACGACTATTAGCATGAGAATTGTGTTCTTTTTGAATAGAAGTGGATCAAAAGTGGAAAGAAGGTTAATTTTTGGAAGAATATATTCTTCTCCGTAAATCAACGTGATTAATCCTTGTTAAGATATTAATGTAGGATTTAATTTTATGAATTTAAATTCATAAAGTAGTTTGGACTATCTTTTAATTAAAAAAATATCAATTCAAATAATTATTATGAGTTAATATAATTAAATTTATTATTGAAGTACCAAATTTAATTAAAAGTTCAATTTATTTTTTTATAGATTAATCCATTTATTTAGACATCAAATGATTAGTGCTGCCCAAATTTGTGTTGTTGTATCAAAAGACGTTGCACGATGATCACTTGAGCAAATGAAGAAATTAATAAAATCATGCCACATATCATGTGACATGCCAAATCAAATCAAAAAGTCAATAAAAATACACCATATGTATAACTGAATGTAATCTTGTCACAAAAAAAAAATGTGAAAAAATGTGATTATGTCGCCGCTTCAATCTGATTGGTCGATAACTTAAACTAGCCAATCAAATGAGTTTGTCCCCTCCACAATTATACATAGGGATCCAAAATTTCCTTATATAATTGGAGAGACACATTCAGGCATTCAGCAGTTCTTGTCGAGATCAATCCAGAGTGTTGAAGCATTGCTAGACTTTTTAGATAACAAATATAACACAAGGATGTAATCATTACTATAAATACGTTGGTTCAATCTTCGAATCACGAAAAATTTTAAAGGAAAAAATCAAGGAAATATACAAAAAAATTCAAACATTTTATTGCGTAACAAAATCCTTTTTCTTCATATTCATTTCGTGATTGTAATTTAATTTCTATATACCGCGAATTTTGTAGTAAACAATTGCTTTCTCCTTCCAACAATATCAGTCACACAATCTTTACGAGCACCAAATTAACTAAATATCAAAGCAATGGCATAAGCAGATAGAATTAAATTTATCAACAATTATATTGGATATGAACCAAAATTAATGAGTTCTTCCAAACCCGTACTTTGACTACAATTCTAGCTCCGCCTTTGAGTACAAGTCGAAATTTTTTATGAGCGTTATATTTAGTGTTTAAGACAATCATGCTCAAAATTTGACTCTCGAAATTAGAAGCAGTTTATTTTATATATCTACTGCGATTTGAAACCATAATTTTCAAAGAAAAATTATGATAAGGGGTAAAATTATTATATAAAAAGGTAGGGTAAATGATCAAATTAAATTATTTAATAATAATGAAGGGTGAGATGAGAGAAAAAAATAAGGTAATGACTATGATATAATAAAGTTTAAGATAATTGCAACAAAAATCGTATTTAAAGTAATAATAGGATACAATACAATAAGTAACGACCATCAAAACAAGCTTTAAAGAAAATCAAAGACCCCAACTCATGCACGATAACGATCAACGAATTTTCCAAAAACTATAATTAATTTAAAACTAAAAATATAAACAAACCCTAATCAGTAGAGCGGTCAAATTTCAATTCTAACCTTTTCCTCTTCCTCTTCAGTACTGTAATCGGACGTGATATTAAATATCTTCTTAACAGCATTCGCCGATTTGTTCTTAATCCTATCAGCAATCGACTGACACAAAAGATCGAGCAAATCCTTAATGTCAAGGTAATTAGCAGCCAATATAAGTTCAAACAGGTCTCTGTAACTCTTCCCGTTCACGAATTCCTTGTCGAAAGTTTCAATTTCTTCTTCGTTCGTATTCGTCTTCTCAACGGCGTGTTTCATCATGTATTCGGTAATTTTGATTAGGGTTTGAGTATCGACGTTTGGGAGTGGGATTATGGTGTAATCGTCCTCCACCATGTTTTTTATGGTTATTGATTGAACGGCGACGGATTCTTCGATCTCAAATTCGTCGCCGTTCGAGGATTTTAAAATCAACATCTTCTTTTGCTCAGTTGTTGATGCCATTGATTGATGGATGATTTTAGGAGAAATTGAGACGAAGAAAAACCCTAGAAAAAAACTCAAAAGACAGCACAGTATATTGAGAAGGTGTAAATGGAGTGTATTTATAGACGTGATTTTTTGAAGAATTAACCTTAAATATCTCTTCACCCAACCAACTTAAATTAAAAATTACTTGTGGACGTATAATATGTATATAGTTCAAGTGTAATTTGTGTATAATTGTATATAATCAGTATATATAATTTATGTATACCAGCTAGGAAAAGTAAATAGAGAATTCGGCTGGCTATTTGTGTAAAGATTCTTTATTTTTTCCCTTTCCTTTTTGGTTTATGAAAAAGATCCGAAAACCTTTTTATTTTCTTTCACACTTCTAAGAACTTCTGAAGTTAGTGAAAAGAAACTTGTTAACGTATGTTTTTGGTTTGATGAATAAGGAAATTAAATATTTACGGGGTGATCAAAATATTTTGAGGTTTCTTTGGAGTTAAAATTACTTTTTTAACCACCTCCGTTATACGGGTGGACCTTTTTTTTATTTTATTTGTTTCCCACCCTCACAAACTAGAGTTACTTTTGATATTTTCCTATTACTTCATGCTAATCATACTTATTTCTGAAAATGTTTAAGTTTTATGCATTGAGGGTATATAATTTTTTATATGATTAGGCCACTTATTAAGTAATTACAAGTAAATTTCTTATAAGAATTAATTAGTTTAGAGTTTGACGAATAGGGACATAAAATATTTACAGGTGATAAAAATTAAAAACTAATACTGATGTTACTCATAGAGAAAATAAACTTACTTAAGATATTGGTTTGATGAATAAGGATATAAAATATTTATGGGTGATAATGGCGTTGTTTTACAATTTCCCTATATTCTTTCCCTGTTATACATCATGTACATTTTTCATACTAAAATATTTATTTCTGAAATTTTTACTTATTTCTGAAATTAATTAACCCAATGCAAGGTCTAATGAGTCCACTGACCATAGCAGGTACGATATTTGGGGAAAGTAATACTCCTATGTGAGTAGCGTGATTCAATTCATAGTCGGCTAGAAGTGGCGTAAGACTGTATTCTGGGCCGGGCCCGGGCCTAAATGGGCTAAACGGGCCGAGCCTAACGGTCCCGGGCTTTGGCGGGCCGGTCTTTGCCGGGCTCGGGCCAAACAGACCTGATGGGTGGAACCGGCCCACTATGGGCCTAAGCCCACATGGTCCCGGGCTAAATGGGTCGGGCCCATGGGCCTAAACGGGCCTAAGTGTTCCGGGCTATTTAATTCTAAATTTTTTTTATCTAAGGCAATTTCTTGTAAACTATATATATATATATATATGTATGTATGTATTAGAATTGGCCTTTTTTTAAAAAAAAATTGAAAAATAGTCGTTGGGCCTATTAGGCCTGGTTGAACCGGCCCAGGCCCGCCTGCCGGTCCTGGGCTCGTGGTCTATTTTGGGAGGACCGGCCCACAGTAGGCTTTTAGGACCGTTAGGGACCGGCCCGTTTGCTAGCGGTCCCGGGCTGGGCCCGGCCCACAATACAACCTTTTAGTGGCGTGATTCAATTCATAGTCGGCTAGAAGTGGAAATCAAATGTGTGTGGGTCCAAATTTGAATAACCACGACTGTTGATGAGTACGACGAACGACGAGATCTCCGAAGTTCAACATCCTGCAGAGGACGACCTTAAGGCGAACAAGAGGATGTACGACCTTTGCAGTAGGGTAGGCCCATTAGGGGACCTTAGGAATATTATTTCGAATATTCCTTATAACTTGTCTTTTAGCGCTTAGAAGGGTTTGGTCCCTTATACATATAGAGCGTAAAACAACCATGTAAGTCTCTCGGGACATCTTTCCTAATTCATAATACTTGCTGTAAACTCGCTTACATAAACGACTGACTGGATTATTGTTGTTTTTTCTTTAAAAGGAGATAAAAAGTTCTTATCCTCTACATTCTCCTGGTCTATTTTCTGTTCTAGAGATTATTATGTTTAGCTAAGATTTACCCCTTCATTTTCTTTTTTTTATTGATTTATTCAAAAAGGTTCCGATATCTTTTGAGTCAAACAATTTGGCGCCGTCTGTGGGGATTTCTATAGCTGAGATTTTAGTTTCATCTAGATTCTTGAAAGAAATAATCACCTCTTCTTAGCTTCACAAAGGCCAACAATGGCGGAAAAGGGAGAAACAAGGCTAAAGGCGATAGTAGGTGTCACGAACAACCTCCTAAATTCCCTCAATGAAGCCGCTGGGGAAGACAACGAAAACGCAATGCCAAGTGCTACACATGAGGGAGATATCTCGCCCCCCCCCCCNNCGCCTCCGCACGAGGGCCTAACTGTCTCGCGTGAAAGGGAAATTTCAACCTCCGCAGCAGGAGAAGCACCTCTGGCTGTGAGGAGGCTATTAGAAGAATGGTTGACAAATACCTTGAGCATTATACTCGAGAAACCCGTTCAAAGGGATATCGAAGGCACAATACCCGCAGAAATCGCAGTTGTCGCCGATGAGTCAGAAACTCCACGAACAGGTAACACTCATAATGTCATTGATGCAGGCAACGATGCACTTGCGGCCATCTTAAAAAAATGGACGAGATGGAAAATGAAAACAAAATACTCCGCGACCAGATGAAAGAGCATCAGGAAAGGGTTGATAAAATACCGGGCGCCCCGAAGTTGCTACCAAAACGTGAGGTGGGCCGATTCATCGAATATCCCTACAACGAAGGGGCAGCACCCCACTCTATTCCGAAAACCTTCAAAATGCCGCCATATTTGAAAATATATGATGGAACCACAGACCCGGAGGATCACTTAATCCATTACGTTACCGTAGTAAAAGGTAACGATCTATTAAAAGAACAAGTGCCGTCAATGCTGAAAAAGTTCGGCGAAACTCTGACAGAGGGAGCTTTGACATGGTATTCCCAACTACCAGCACGATCGATATCAACGTTCGAAGAAATGGCAGATAAGTTCATCATCGCTCACGCGGGAGCGAAAAAGGCAGAAGCTAGGGTAAATGATATCTTCGCCATCAAGTAGACGACGGGCGAGGGACTTCGGGATTTCCAAGCCCGATTCAACAGGGTAAGTATGAGCCTACCAAACGTGTCAGAAGGGATGGCGGTAGCAACCTTCAAAAATGGGTTAAACAGAAATAGGTCAAAAGCAACCAAAAAGTTGCTTAGTAGACTCATGAAGTACCCCACCACCACCACGTGGGAAGAGATCCATAATGCCTATTGCACCGAAGAGAGGGCAGACGAGGATGACCTGAATGACACTTTTGTGGACCAACTACCCTCTTTCAATCGATAAAGGCACCAGCACTATATTCGAACATCCTACCCACCTCCTCCGCGACATGCAGATGCCGCGCCTCGACATACCGCACTATCCCAAAACGAAAGAGGTATGCCTCCATTGTTATATTCTCATAACTTTTGTGTTTCTCCTTCAGAAATAGTGCACGCACTGGAAAAGCTCGGCACAAAGGTGCAGTGGCCGCAAAAGATGAAGTCGGATCTGAGCACCCGAAGATCGAACGTTCTATGTGAATTTCACCAGGAAAGGGGGCACGAGACCGAGGACTGCATAGGTCTACAACATGAAGTGATAAGGATGCTAAATCAGGGACACCTAAAAGAACTACTAAGCGACCGAGGACGAGTCAACTTCGCTCGTGGGCGCGATCAACCTCAGGGACCTCCAAAACCACCAGCGCCAGCTCGTACCATACAAATAATCATTGGCGGCGGCGACGATATGATAATCAACCATGTGAAGTTCACCATCACACACAAACTCAAACGGACAGTCGCCCACGAACGGTACGGCGACCTCGAAGATAGTACTATCTTCAATAAGTCGGATACCAATGGTTTGTATTTCCCTCACTATGATGCTTTGGTTACAACTTTATGCATCACAAATACCGACATAAAGAGAATAATGATGGATGATGGAAGTGGGGCTGTCGCACCTCCTGTTTCCGCCCCCGCGAGGGTGCGTAGGGAGTTTTCTCCAATTAAAGGACAGTCGAAACGGGATTTGTTTGTTTGTTTCAGAGTCGCCACTTGGGAATTTTAAGGTGTCCCAAGTCACCAATTTTAATCCCTGAATCGAGGAGAATATGACTCTGTTTATTATTCTGCGAACCAGAAATCCTGAGTAAGGAATTCTGTTAATCCGGAAGAAGGTGTTAGGCATTTCCGAATTCCGTGGTTCTAGCACGGTCGCTTAACTGTTTTTATT